TGTCTTTGGCCTTGATATATTTGATTTGCGATACTTCTTCATGAGGGTGCTACTCAGGCAGCCAATATCAGAATAAAGAGCCCCAAAGAAAAATAACTAAGAGCAGTGCAGATATCTTTGTGCTTGCTCCCTCTTTTCTGAGTTTTAAGCGACTGTTCCCTCTGAGGTTGGGAGATAATGCTCTCCAAATCTCAACCTTTTTCTTACAATGTACGGAGTATTCAATTAAAAGTTTTCAGGCACATTAAAAAATGGAATGAAGAAAACAAGAACAAAATTTAGGTAAGGCTGCAGGTGAACCAGCATTAAACCCATCAGTCAAGAAAACTGAAACAATTGCAATTGGTATTATCAGGAAAATTTAATAATAAAAAACGACTTTCATTTGAAAACAGTCATCTATAAAATATCGAAGGGAATCTTTTTAAATAAAAATTATAGGAGTCTAAATTAAAAATACCTAAATTTAAAAGTAAATTAAACGAAAAAATAGATTGTTTTATCTGGTAGACATGTCCTGAATGAAGCAAAGAAAGAAAAAAGTTAGCAGAAGGGTGGGTAGTTGAAGGCCTAATATATATAAATGTAATCTTACAAGGCAAGAAAAGGAAAAATGATGCAATAATTAACACAAAAGGAAAACTGCTGAAATATTTCCAGAACATACTGATATATTTGTGGCCACATTTAAAGAAGCCCAAATAAATTTCAAAGGGACAATACAAATGGTACATTGAAAGTCAAAACCAGAAAAGTCGTAGAACACCCATGGGCAGGGAACAACTCTTATTTTAAACTGTCTCTTCAGTAGAAACAATCGGAAGTAGAAAACAATGGAATGGAATCCTCAGTACATTGGGAGAAGAAAAGAAAATGAATACTAGCTAAAATTCAGAAATGATTTTTGTTTTGTTTTGTTTTGTTTTCCAGTACCAGGAATCGAACTCACGACCTTGCACTTGCCAGGTAAGTACTGTGCAACTGAACTAAATCCCCAGCCTCAGAAATGATTTTTGATATTGATGGTAATAAGAAATTGGGTGAATTTCCAAAATCCACCCAAGCAGATAGAATTGTCAATAAGCAGAACCAAATTAAAAGTTATTAAGACAGACCACCAAGGAGAAAAAAATGAGATCACTGAGAGAAATATGCAAGTGGAGGAAAACATGAAGGGAAATAGAATTAGAATAAATGTGGATAAATACATACTTTCTTGATAATACAGGGATGTTTTGTGAGACTAAAATATAAGCAGAATTAAAATGCATGGCATAAGTTTGCAATTGGTATTATCAGGAAACAAATAGTAGAAGGAGAATTTCATTTAAAAATCTCATTTATGATACTTATGAACCATAAGTTTGCACAACATCTTATACTAAGTAATATTTTAAAGAAAAGTGCTTTATTATTGTATAGTAAATGAAATACTTAGTTTGTAATATCTAAGGCAACTAGTATATGTTAGCAGCATGTACAATTGAAAGCATAAAGAAAATCTGGAAAAATAAAATGTCAATACAATAAAAGATAAAAAAAGAATGAAAGAAAAATGAAAGAGTTAAACAAAAAAGAAATTAATATATCATAACTGAAACTCCTGCATATTGGTAATTGCCTTAAATATCATGAAGTAAATATCTAAATAAAAGTGTAAGACTCTTTAAAAGGAAAAGTTGATAAGTTACTCGTAAACTATAAACTTGAAATGTAAGATGAACACTAGCATCATATTTCAGTGGTAAAATGGTTGAGTAATGTGACAGATGCCCTGTGTTGGATCACCAGTACCACAAAATACAGAAGTACATGATTAATATGAGGCCACACAATGGTTGGTAGTGAAAGATATAAAGCAATATAACACACAAATATTTACCAAATATGTTATAAATCTGAAAACAAGAACTACAGAGAGGTGAATCCATTTATTCATATAATTATAAAATGAGCATTTAATAATATACCTTCTATGTACAAAGTAAAAACTGACAAAAGTAAACAAATATAGATAAATCCACAATTGGGTTATGTACTAATTGTTTCAACAGAATTCTATTGGTAATAATAAACATATAATAACTGACAATGCAGAAAAGACCAATTGCCTTTTTAATCTGTAAAATCTTCCATTTAACAATAACATATTCTGTTTCAAATACATATTCTGTCTCAAAATAAACATAACATTTTCCAAAATTCAGAATGGGTCATAAAAATGTTTTAATTTAAAGAGTTTTCTCTAAAAACTAGAATGAATAAATAAATGGTAGTGTATTCTGGTAATGAAATGCAATATATGAATTAAAGTGAGTGAAATATTGCTTCATATACAAAAACACAAGTCACTGAAAATAATTTTAGGTTCCCTAGAAAATTCATTTGTCATTGTCATTTAAACTATATCCAGTTTGGAACTGTTCACACAAAATGTTTTCATATTATATACACATATACAGGTGTATGGATATATGCATTATATATTCTAATTTTACCTCTGTCATGACTTTCTACTACCAAAAGATTAATAATAATTATATAAATATCTAATAAACACAAATATTTGATGATGCTCACTCTTTGAACACGTTATATCTACAGATTTACTTTATTTATTGCCCTTCAACTTGGACACTTTTGCTACATGTTCTGCCAAAGTATGAGAGACATGGAAAAAGTAACATGTGTGTGAGTAGATCTGTGATACTACACAGAACGGCAGCCTGACTACACACTAACATTAAAAAGAATCATTTAAGATTATGGTACATGTATTTTTCTTTTATTTTATTAGTACATGTTTGCAGTATATGAAGTTGCCATTCATTTTGAGGACTAGGTGGATGTGTAAAACGTAGTCTATTTCTATTTTCATCTCATCTTCTGCCCACCCTCTTGCCTTGCTCTGTCTGCAAGGTGCCTTTGCCTATTTTCAATCTTCTTGTTAGCATTATTCTTAGCTCATGCTTATGACACACACTCTGTACAGTCATTGTAGGTATTTCATACCTATATATGATGCATCTCATGTACTTTAAGAATGTAACACATATTACTTTGTGTACAGAAAGCCCACATGTAATAGGTTATTTTCAACCCCATATCCATATTTTTACTTATATAGATCATATCAAAATTGCAAAGAAAAGTGAAGCTCCTAAATATTTAATTATAGAGATTTGATAGCAAATTTATACTTCCTGGGGAGTAAGTGCTATACAATGGTTAACTGTAATACCTTGGTTACATAAATTTTCTATATTGCACTACAAATTTAAACTGCTGAACAATATATATGTAATAAAAATAAATTTTTGATTGCAAAACCAAATTATTTTTATTTTTACTTTTTCTCTAGTCTCAATATATAATTTTTATTATCAACAATAAACAATAAATTTTCTTTTTAAATATAAAGTCTACTGGTTTTCTTGACACCAATTGAAAATGCACATTGTTGTTTATTTTTCTTTATTAAGTAAACCATTTCTTTGCAAATACATCCCTAAATAGCTAATTAGATTCCCTAATAGCATGAGAAACCACCATGGGAATAATGTACAAGTATTGTACCATCAGCAAAATTAGAGAGGAAACCACCTAGTACTTTGTTTTGTTGTTGTTGTTGTTTTGAAGTGCAATTTAAGCTCTAAAGGCTTTTTTTCATATTTTTAATACAGCAAATCATTTCTGTCCCTAGAGCCTACATTAATGGGCAGAGTACCAAATTACCAGAGTGGGCTAATTTGCACCTAAGCATTTCATATTAATGAAATAGATTTTTTAGATATCAGGGAATACACGCCCTTCCCATTTTATAAATACTCTATTCTTAGTAAATGGAAAATGCTGCTGATGAAATTCTTTCCTCAAAATTCCTCACTAGGCATAAGTAAAGGATAAACATTCCCATGAGAGAACTAGTGCCTAAAGCTGCTGTAAATGTTTGTAGAAACATTCTCTTGATAGGGAATGAGAAAGAAAGAGAAAAAGAGGTACTGTAAATCAGTTGACAAGGAAAGAAAAATTACAAAGCTTACACGCAGGATGTATGTGATATTTCCATATGAAAGTGAAAAAATCATACACAAATCATTTAATTTCACTTAAACAGGAAAACATGTTTTCACTTTATAGGTGACAATTCATATAAACAATAGATTGTATCTCTATTTTCTTCACTATCAATTACCAGCATGGCTTTTTTCACATACACAATCTGCTTAATGCGAATCAGACAAGGTATGGGGGGGACGGCAGTATAGAAGCAAAGAGAAGATAAGTGGAACTGTTTGTGAATTTCCTGCAGCTTCACACACACTATCCAGAATATACAGACAAAATATTTCTCTTAATGTATGTAGATTCTCAGTTTTTAAACAACAAATTAGAGATTCCTAAACCAGAAAGAGTATCAATTTTTTTTCAAAGCTTAATTGAACTACAAAATTAAACTTTTTTCTCTATAATACTAATAAAAATTTTCATTTAAGAGTAGTATAAGGTCAGCTGTGGTGGCGCATGCTTGTTATCCTAGAACTCAGGAGGCTGAGGCAGAGGGATTGTTGTAAGTTTGAGACCAACCTGGGCCACAAAAGTGAACTCAAAGCCAGCCTGAAATGCATGGTGAGACCCTGTCTCAACAAGACAAAAAAAAAAAAGTAGTAGAAAGCTATGTGCTTACTTTTTGCTTATAAATTCAATTCCTTAAGACTCTTAGCAAAAATGGATCTGTCATGAAAATTCAAAAATATGAGTGTGTCTTATGGCATTCTTTGTCTCTTACAAACAAAAAGTGATTAATTCAAAATAGACAATGTATGAAATGGCTCAACATTAATAGAATGTTAATATTAACTATGCTGTATTATATGTGTTGCCCTTCAAGACAGACTGAGTTGTAAAATCAAGATTAAATAATTGATACAATCTTGACATGTTGAGTTGCTGTTATACAGATGAGATAATCACCAGCATCTACACAATGTATTGCTCACTGCAGTCTGGAAAGCCGTGTACTTATGATGCTGTTATCCAAGTCACTGGATGCAGAAGTACAGCAAATGAGAATACGGCACCAAGGTCAAAGCTCAGGATCTTTGGTCAATGCATGGTGGTCTTAATACAGTTCACAAATGTGGTTCATTATAATCCCAAAGTCTACAAATTAAAAGAGCTAGTTTTAGTTTAGAAGCTTAGGAACTACAAAGCCCAATGTACAGTTGTGAAGAACAGCTAGTATAACCACAGATTTGTTTTCTTTTTAGAAAGGAGTCAAATGAGAATCACGCAGGAGTCACCGGCCCCTTGCAATTCTGAAATACATTTCTACAAGTCATTGTTTGTGCACTGACCCACAGGTGAAGAATTGGTCCCTTTTTTAGTTTTTAGGGGGCATCTCATTCATTTTACCTGATGGCCTTGTATTCTAACCTCAGAGAGGACTTTTTTCTGTTACATTAACTTCCCCAGCTCCATCTAAAAGGTTTTTTTGTACAGTGTTTACAGTCCTCATGTGGTATATGCACATAACACATCTTAAATCTTTTTCATCGCCTTTCCCTTCCCTACTTCCACCCTACCTCGATCTCATAATCCTTACTTCCTATTATCTTCTTTTTATTTTGCCCTTTATACATAATTTGGGGTTCGCATACAACAGGAATCATGCAGTATTCAAACTTGTTTGTCTGATTTATTTCACTTAACGCTGTGGTCCCAAAGTGTATTCAGTTTCCTACAAATGACTCCGGTTTATCTTCTTTATGCCAGGGTAGTTCTCATCGTGTATAAAGACTACATTTTCTTTATCCATTCATCTCTTGATGGGCATATAGACTGCTTCCAAGATTAAGCTATTATCAATTGTGCTACTATAAAGACGAGTGCACACGTATTGCTGTAATATGATTCTCTAACTCTTTGAGGGAGACACTAGAAGAATCACTCAGTCAAATGTAAGTGTCAGTTTCTTGGATTTTTTTCCGGTACAGGAAATGAAACTCACGACCTTGCGCTGCCAGGCAGGCACTGTGCCGCTGAGCTAAATCCCCAGCCCCGAAGTTTTAGTTTCTTGAGGAATCTCCATACTGATTTCCGAGGCGGCTGTACTTGTTTACACTCTGAGCAATAATGTATAAGCATTAGAACAGCCATGTTAACTATCCTGCGTATACATACTGTCTTGTATTTCTTTGCTGAAAGAAACTGTCAATGAGTCTTTGGTTGATCAGCTTTGTATGGCTATATCTGTTTTCATGAGAAACCACTTTGAAGATATTAATATGTAATACAACAAGCGTTGTTAATTCCCTACCACTCTGTTTGTAACTCCATACTGTCTGTACTGTTCCTTTGCTATTTTGTAAAATGCTGTCTGTCTGTTAATATTTTCCTCCTTTTATTTTTAAAATAAAAAATAATAATGTATAAGCATTCCTCCCCCACGCCAGCCTCTCCTTCATCTGGTATTATTTGATTTCCTAAGGTTGGCTGCTCTTTCTGGGGTGAGATGGAGTCTTCTGGTAGTGATGTTCTCATTTGCATTTCTTTAATGATCAGTGATGTTGAGCACTTCATCGTGTATTTCTTGGTCATTTTTACTTCTGTGAAGTCTCTATTTCTTTCACCTTCCCATTTTTTTTTCTTTTGATCTTTTGTTTGGAGAGGGAGTGATTTCTTTCTTTTTTCTTTTCGTTCTTGTATATAGTCCAGATATTAGTCCTCTGTCTGAGGAATAGCTGGCAAAATGATTTTGTGAATTTGTGAGTTGTCACTGCACTTGGTTGGTTGGTTTTAGGTTTTTTATTCATTTCCCTTCTATTCTGTGCTGTGCAGAAACTTTGCAATTCGATATGATCCCATTGGTTGATTCTTGGTATTATTTTCTGTGCAACCAGAGTTCTGGCCAGAAAGTCTAGACCTAGTTGGATAATAAGTTCCCCTGGAAGGACTAGACAAAATTCTCAACACTCTTCTAGTAAATTAACCTCTTTTTCCTGAGATATTTTCCCAACTAAGATTTAGTAGGTGCTATAATAATTTATTCAGAGGTTTAAAAATTGTTATGAAAGCCAGTTTCTTCATTTGCATCTATACATCCAATGAACTCTAAGGATTTTTGTTGCTCAGTTGCACTGTCATTGCACTGTAGTGGATAAGTATGAGAAGAAATTGCCCGAAATAACTACCTGATGATTAGTTTATGATCCCCATCTGCTTTGGGGTTTTTTGCCCACTAAGAAGCCAGGTGACCCTTCTCTGATCTTTCATTGTTCTTATTGTACTTTATCTGTCTTCCCAACTTTAACCAACTCCCAACTCTTCTCATAGTCTTCTGTTTGAAGACTTGAAGTCTTGTAGTCTTCTGTTTTCATATATCTTCTCTTGTTACCCACCATTATATGTGTAAGTGTGTGGTCATGTACATCACTAGGTGCACTGTCTGATGTGCAAGTTATTATAAGCAAAATTTTTCGAATGTTTTGTGACTGCCTAAAAGAGTAATGGGAATTAAATTTCTGTCATTCTACCATTTAATACAATTTCCTCTACCATCGACAGCCTGGCTCCCACACCAGTGCCACACATTTTCAGCTTTTGTGTCGTCCCTACTCATATTTAAGTACAAATCTGTACGCTTTCTGTAGAGATAAGATACAAGAAGTCATACTGTGATAATAAAACTTAGTGTTTTAAAAGAATATTATGTATGTATATATATATATATATAATAGCTGAAGACATCAGTTGAACGTACTCAAGCAACTCACTACAGTTCATAATCCTTATCACTTAATCCAGTTCTTCAAATGTCCCTTCACATGGACAGCAAGTGCCTCCCTCCTATGTTCGCAGTTCCTAAGGGGATGGGAATACAGCTCTGGGGATCTCATGGAGTAGTTGAATGTTTAGTTTGGAAGTTACACTAACAACTCACTAGATAGTAATATTCACATGGCCTTTCTCATGCGTAAGAGGGCTAGAAAGTAAGAAAGGCCAAAAGTGGACGGAATGGGGACTATTTGCAACCACGATTTAAGTCTAACATGTCCCCTGCACATCTCATGTGCTCAGAGTTTGGGCTTTTGGAATATAATTGGACCGAGTTGTAAATGTGTTGTGGAGTTCGTAGATGAATGTGCTCGTAGGAGGTGGGGCCTATTTAGAAAAGATGCGTCCCTGTGCACTTGAGGTGGAATGGTACACGCCGTCCCCACCTCCTCTCTGCTTTCTGATGCTGTGACTTGAGCAGCTTGTCTCCTTCCGCTACACGGATTCTTCTATGGAAACAGCCAAACAGATTGAATAGTCTGAAGCTATAGGCTAAATCGTTCCTTGCCGTAAATTGTGGATCTCAGACATTTTGGTCACAGTGAGGAAACCCTAGCTAAGGCACTTGTTCATTCCTGGTGTGTAAGTAGCCTTACATTTTGACTATTTAGCTACTCAATATTTTCTCACAGTACAAAAACATTTGGGCAAATTGTTTTGTTTTTGTTTCCAAATAACTTTTACAAATAAAATTCAGCTCAAGAAGTTATTCCATAAATAGAAATTATATATATAATATAATTAATTCAAATAAGTATAATTAATTCAAGTATAATTAATTCAAATAAGATAAACATAATTCTTAACTAGTATTATCTCTGATACATTTGTGAATCATAAAATATTAAATAATAAAATATTATTATTCCTTCATTTCATACTTAACAGTACAGTTCATCTTTCTAATTGCAAGTTGATTAACTACCCTCTCCTCTCTCATTTTAACCCAATGTAATGCCAGTAAGTCTCAAATTTAAATGTTTTCACTGTAAACATGTTTCTATACACAGATTGAGGCGAAAATGAATATTAAAATAAATAGTTAATGGTTCTTATATAAGATTTGTTTCATATTTGGGAAGAAAAACAATTACTCCTTACTAACAGCTCAAGAAGTTATTCCATGAATAAAAACAAGTATAATTCATTCAAATAAGATAAACATAATTCTTAACTAGTATTATCTCTGGTATATTTGTGAATAATTTCTTATTGCTAATTCTAGATCTACTTGATTTTAGGATGCAGACTTAAATTTGTATAACATACAACCCCAAAAGGCTAGTACGTGTAGCATAACAAAATCAAACACGTTTCCTAAAATCGTCAAAAATTAATAATTAAATGAAATGCAAATAGAATAAGCGGAGATGAGAGAGTCAGTGGGTCATTGATATAATAATACATTTCAAATTGACCTCAAAGATTTATTTTTATGTTTCATTGACATTTGTATAATATTTTTCTCAAATAAATTAGTAAGAAATCATTCATAAAATAGAATATAATGATGTTACAATTGATGATGAAAAACATGATGTGTATTATTTTTGAGGAAACTTATTGCCAGAACCTCTAAGCATATTGAACTCAGTCATCTTTTCCTTGGTGAGATTGGTAAGATTTTCTTGGTGTGATTGACGAGATTTCTTGCTATTAGTTGCTTTTCAACAACTGCTTTTTGATTGAGAAAGGGAAAAAAGAATAGCATCCACTTTTGTTCTAAAATTGTTTGCCTTACTAATAGGAGTCAATAAGACGGTTTTCTTTGGTACAAACATATTGGAACAATCGTGCAAGGTCCCTCAGACACAGAGATAGATACTCTGCAACGTCACGTTGTGATGTATTGAAAATAGAGCTCTGGAGCAGAGTGGTTCTATTTGAATGTCTGGCTTTTATTAGTGTGTGACTTTAGAAGTTATCTGACTTATCCATTCTTCAGCGTGTTTATTGGTACATGGTGGAAACAATAGAAAATTGTTTCTCTTTATCCACTGGCAGTATGTTCCAAGACTACAAATAGGTGTTGGAAATAGAAGGGCTGCAAAATAAACTTTTTTTTCCTATACAAACATGTGTGTGATAAAATTTCACTTATAAAATAAGCACAATAAGACATAAATTCAAGTAAGTATTAAAATATAACAAGTATAACAATAAGCAATATCAAGAGCTACTTAAAAATAAGAATTGTTTACTTCTGAAATTTTTCATTTACTATTTTTAAACTGCAGCGCCCCAAGTAGCTAAAACAAAAGCAAAACAATGAACAAGGAACAATTTCTGTGCCTACTTCATATGGAAGGTAAATATGGCTAAATAAGGAATGAGTTAAAAGTTTTAAAATGCTTAGGAGAATGTTGAACACATTGTAAGACATGTGAAATGAATAAACATAAAAAACCCCGAGAGTATAATGTTATGCTGGTTTTTCTTCTTATTTTTTCACTTAATATATTATAATCTGAAAATATCAGTACTGGTTCCCACAACACTGTTTTGTATTATGTGTACCTAACAATAACTTCCATTTGAACATGAATTTTTTAAAACTATTGTCATTTAAACAATAGGATCTCAGTAGTTCACTGTCTGATTTTCTACCAACGTACACTCCTATCAACTAAATGGTAGTGTTCTATTCCCATAAAGTTGTGCACACTAGCCATAGAATTTAAGTGTTGAGCACTTTTTGTGTTAATGAAAAAAACAACTTAATGTTAAAACAAGAGCTTGAAGATTATGTGGAATAGACACACACATAGAACTTTAAAGGAAGAATAAGTGCCAAGATTTAGGCTGCATTTATCCTTGAAATAAAGAAGTGTCTAGCAGTTTCTTTTTCTTTGTTTTGTACTTTTCATTATACCAGTTTATATCAAAGTGCAAGAGTACATCTATGCAAGCCACTCGGACAATACTATCTGTATTTTTTTTTTTTTTTTTACTATCTGTATTTTAAATCTATCACATTGTTGCATTTCTCATCATTAGTTCCTACATAAAGCTATATCATCAGGACAATGGCATCTTTCAAATGTTGTGTCACATTTTATGCATTTTATGAGAGGGGTCAGATGTCAGGTTTATTATTATTTTTATTAGTATATGTCTGTAGTACATATTTACTCTCCTCATGGGAAAATAGAATATATACATAATTCATTTTATTTCCTATTTTCATCCTTTTTCCCATCCCGTCTTCCTTGAATTAGGCTGCTTCATCTGCTCTTTAATTTTTTTCTGAGATTTTGTTTGTAGTTTTTAGAACTGTACCTCAAAAATCTATCTTTTTGAGACAGGGTCTCTCTATGCAGTTCAGGCTGACCTTGCACTCACTTTGTCACTTTGTAGCCCAGGCTAGTCTCAATCTCACAATGATCCTTCTGCCTCAGCCTCCCACATGCTGGTATTATAGGTGTACACCACCATGCCTGGCTCAGAAGTGTACTTTGTACCATGTTTGCACATAATTGTTTTTACAAGACTAAATCTTCAATCAGGTTTTCTATATCTTTCTATATCTTTCTATATCTTCAATCAGGTTTTCAATCAGATTTAAATTAATCAGCTTGCTGTTACTGACATAGACTGTAGGAATTCCTTTAACTAATAAGAATTTCCTCATTGTATAAGTACACAGACCGATTTGTGAAGCATTCATTGACTTACTTTGTTGATGTCCTCCTTTCTCAGCCAGTTCTAATGCCTTTGGTCCCTTTGTTGCTCTTCTACTTCTGACTGCTGCAAAGGTTTTCTGGTGGAAAAGGATTAAAAACTCCAGAATACACTTCTCTCAGCATGTTTTCTTGGTGTTTAATAGACATTTAACACCTTTTTGATCAATAAAATAACATGAAAAATCAAAGAGAAGCATACAAATTATCTTGAGATATTTCCTTATAATTTCATTATTTTAAGCCTATCAGTACTAATTTCATTAGTTTCTATTTTAAACTAGTCTCTGTATCAATTAGCTTTCCCTAATAACAAACTAATCCACAAATCTGTGACTTAGAACTACCACCATTTATTGAATATGTGCTCATGTTTGCTCTCTGGGCTGATTCCTGCTGGGATGTTACTCTGCAAAGCAGGTGCTGGCTGACCAATCCATGAGGGCATCCCACATGTGTGGCAGTTAGCAAGCTGTGGGGCTGGCTGGCCAGAACTACAGGGTATTCTGTTTACCCCTACTGTATTGAGCACTCTGAATTTTCCCGCACGGTGAGGGCATTCCAAACCTCTGTCAGACCTCATGCAACTTCACTTCTGTCAGACTACCAATCAGGCAGTATCTGTGTAAACCTGAACTCAAGGATTGGCGAACAGTCTCTATCAATAGAGACCACGGGGATAATTGAGGCTAATTTTGCCACCTACAAATTACCACGCTCCCTATTCAATATTTAACACATATCTAATTAGTTTATGTAATGTGAAAAAGGTTTTAGTTCTACTAAGTCCTGGAATATTTTTCTTTTTTCTTGTTTCCATTCTTACTTTTATTCCTTCATTTATTTTAAAAGTTTGAAGTCTTTTAAAATTGCCAGATTTTTTTAATAATAAAAATTAATTATGTGACCTTTCTATATCAATACTTATATCCATCACTTAAGTTAATAAGCATGAATTTATTTCATATTGCTCATATTATTTTCTTATCTATATTTTCTTACTTTTTTAACTAAATATGTAAATAACTTTGTCCTAATCAGTAAAAGCAAATGAGTTGTAAATATCTTCTTTTTTTTTTTTTTTCGGCTTTTTTTCCAATACTGGGAATCAAACTCACAACCTTGCACTTGCCAGGCAGGCGTTGTGCTGCTGAGCTAAATCCCCAGCCCCTTAAATTTCTTCTTTACATAGGCATCTTTCTGTTACCTAAAACCTGAAAATGAAATACTTAGCTAATGGACTTTCTGAGAAACACTCTTGAGATTAGATGTGAATGACTAACGACAGTATATAATAGTTGATGTTCTTTCTTTGAGATTGTTTTATTGTTTCTTTATAGATAATCAGTGTCAAACAGAATTTAAAGGCTAGACTGATGCACTACAATGAATATAATATGGGAATGGTTATGAAATCTCATTATATATCATAGTATGTATATACTGTACATTTATTTATATTTTATTTCCATTATTATAAGTGCAAATTTGTAGAAATATATTGACCTACAGTATTTTTAAACCTATAAAGTGTGTTTATTTTATGCAAATTCAAATTTACTATTGTTTCTATGTGTTTAATTGTTTTTAGGAATAATAATATATTGATGACTTTACTTTCTGATGCAACCTTAAAATTTTCAGTCTCGACTCTGTGCATTAGGGATGACAGACAATTCATAAAATGTATGTTGTTATAAAAGTCTCTATATATTGATAGAATATGTATTGTTACAATGTCTACTTCACTGTTTCCACACATACTTCTTTCTTTATGTTAGTGCACTTGTTTTACTTTCTCTAAGATGTTTCTATTTCATTTCTCTTTCTTCTTCTCTTTCTGTTTTACATAGGTATGTGTGTGTTCACATAGAGGTCTGGTTTAAACTGAATACTTCTGTGCATGTGCTACCTTGATGTAAGGTAATGCATTTAAGATATTTCTTACAAAACACTTTTTGTTATTGAAATATTGCCCAAATATGAAATATTCTGATCAACTCTGAATGTGTAATACATGACCCTTTCTGTGTTAGACACATGTATGTGTTATCTAAATTATGATGCTATGAAAACTATTGGCTTTTTAATGTTCATCAGGTCATAGATTTCTTTTGCATTGTAATGTCATTTGACAACGCTATTATTCTCCACTGGCTTAACTTTGGTAGAATTACATGTCAGCAGAAAAATATTTTGTTGGTCCTTATTTCCCAAAGTACATATTAAGTTTGTTTTTAAGAAAGTACAGCATGATATTGTTTCAATTCATCCATAAAACAAATGACTCTCAAACATTTCATAAGATAAAATAAAAAGCAATATCTTGTTTTTCCCTTGTATCACACAGTATTTTACTACATAGGCAGAAAAATATTTTATATCTGCAGTATGGTGATTATCCTTCTGAAAGAACTATCATATATTGGTTTAATTTCTTTGGCTAGGTGGCTTATATCTGAATAAATGTATGTATGCTTACGTGTGATTGACAAAACTTGCAGGTAATCAGTAAGAAATAAATGGTTGTGAATCAACATTGCACTAAAAGATCATTTTGATTCTCACCCTATAATTTGACACACAATTAACATTTCCTAGATGGGAGTGGTATCTCACACCTGTTATCCCAGCATTCAGGAGACTGAGGCAGGAGGATCATTGGAAGTTCGAGACCGGCCTGGGCTACAGAGTGAGCTCATGGCCAGCCTGAGCTGCATATCAAGACCCTGTCTCAAAAAGACAGAAATAATTAACATCTCTAAGGGTTTAAAATGCATTATTAATATATGGGAAGCTTTAATATACTTCTGTCTCTCCGCTGACCAAAAGATTGCATCTGTTATCTGGACTGAACATTTGTGAACTCATTTTCTAAGGTAGCTCAGGTTAATAATCTAATTTCTGTGCATGGCACCCTGTAACATATGATAATAATACTGATTAAAATGTTATGAGATATTATGTTTAGTGGAAAACTAAAATATTGTTTTGATTATTGAGTCTGGTCTGGTTGGAATTCCATCTCTGCTACTTTTAGTTTAGATGAATCAGTTAGGCCATCAAAAGTTGAATTTTCTGATCTCCCTTCCTCAGGCTCTGGAGTAGATGGATTACATCCAGACACCACTGTATGCAGCAGAATTCTTCTTTTCTCCCTTCCTTCTTTCCTTCCTCTCTTCTTTCCTTCCTTCCTTCCTTCCTTCCTTCCTTCCTTCCTTCCTTCCTTCCTTCCTTCCTTCCTTCCTTCTTTCCTTCCTTTCTTCCTTCCTTTATCTCAGTATTGGGAATTAAGCTCAGGTTTGTACACAGGAGGTAGTATACTTTTAAAAATATGGCAACCCACCACTTTTTGAGGATTAGATGAAAAGCCTTTTGCAAAAACTTTGAGCCCCTGAAGTAATATGCGTGTACCTAAGATCATTTTGCAATGACTCATACCACAATTATTCCATAAACTAATTTAATATTTAAAACAACTCCATAGAACAGATTATCCTTTTTATTGATAAAAGTTCTAAATCTCAGAGTTTTATGAAAACTGACTTGAGAAAAGAGTGATAAAACTTATTGTAATTAATTTTTATGTGACCCAATTTTCTTAGTTCTCTGTCTTTCCAGGAAACCTCATCTACCTGAAAGTTTCTCTTGGTATTTTTAAGATTTCAGTCTACTAATTAAAATGCCATTTTTATATCCCATTAAATGTAATTTCCTTAAATGTATAAATTGTAGCCTTTCAATAAGAGAGAAAGAACAGTGAAAGAACTAAGAAACATAAAAATGATTACAAATTTTTATATGGCATCAAAAAAAGAATACGACAATCAACCACATCCTCACCAGATATCTAAAAGCTCAAGGAAACACCGGTTACCAAAGATTACTGACATATGAAAACAAAAGAACATTCTAAAATGGAATCCTGGAATGTAGTTGCAAAGGCATCAGCCTTATTTCAACAAATAAGTCTGTCACTATGCATTAGATGTTAAATATATCAGAAAATATCAACAGGACACCATACTACAAAGCTGAATGTACAAAACCAAGTTGCCTGATTCAACAGACAAGGCATGTTACCTTTCTGTTGTTTGACTTAGGGGAGTACAGAGAGCTCTAGTGGTCTCTGTGTTTTTAGTGCTTAATTTGTTATTGGTCCTAATCTTCTGAAAGATTTAATGGGGATTTTCTGCTGCTATTTTCCTGGGGCTGATGTTACCTTTGGGATGTGCTTGTGAGCAGAACTTGTCTTTGACTTTTTTTCCTATTGTTTTTGCTGACATATTTCTTCTGTTTCACTGTTGGCTTAGACTTTAATCTTTGCGTCTGCTCCCTCTAATTATTTTGATGATTTTTATGAAAGGCCTAAAAATCTTTTTAAAGACACATTTGAAAGAAATATGAAATTTAAGAAGAATAATTTTATTCTATGAGAAAAGAATACTATAAATTTTTTTAATAATTCACATTGTGGATCTAAAGAAATACTCATGAATATTATAAAAGATGGACACATAAATTAACATTTTGTTTTAAACTTATGTGCCGATGTTTAGCTAAGACTTGTCTGAGATGAGAAATCACTTTCCTTCTCACACTCAATATAAGTTGGGTAACTATACCTCATTATAAATGCAGAAGAAAATGACTGTGAGAAATTTTCACAATTCCAGTTCATATATTTCAGGATAAAAATTCAAGAGTGTGTTTGTAAGTTTTACCAAAGTCATAAAATCTAAATGAAAAGAATCCAAACACTGGATCACTCTTGGTCTTTATCTATAATTTGTATAACTCTTGTGCTATATATGTGTTATAATAAACCTTGAGATTTATAACATTATCTCTATTAAAGTTATGCCTTTATGAGTTATCTATTAAAATTACTTTCCTGAGGGTTTTTCAGACTTCTGACTTCTGTGGGGCTCTGGAACTTTATGGAGTTCTAGGTTCATGTACTCATAAAAAATAATCTGTAGGTAATTAAGCAGTTAGTTTAACAAATATATACATTTCGCTTTTCATATTTATATACTATATGTGTCTTTTTCATAACGAAAGAGGAAAAATTAAAAGTTGACAAACTGACAGTGATGTTTTGCCATTTTATAATTTCTAAATCAATAAATACAAAGAACACA